CACGGAAGACCTATTGGCATGCGAAGTGTTTACCGACGAATGAGAAGTTTTGGCTTGTTTTCATACCGGCCACACTGGGTCCTCCCTTTAACTCGAGAACACCGACGTAATCGCCTTGAGTGGTGCAGACAATGGTCACTCTGGGATCAGGAATGGAACAGTATTGTCTTTAGTGACGAGTCTCGATTTTGTTTAGGCATGCACGATGGTCGTGCCAGGGTTAGAAGGCGACGTGGTGAAAGGAGGAATCCACAGTTTTTTGTTGAAATACATGTTCATCACACTGTTGGAGTTATGGTTTGGGGTGCTATAGCTTATGGTTTCAGGTCACCTTTAATCTTCATCAGAGGTAACATGAACGCGCAGCGTTATATCCACGAAGTTCTATAACCCCATCTTTTACCCTATCTTGACACCCTGGCAGATCCAACTTTCCAACAAGATAATGCCCGACCACATGTTGCAAGAGTCACAATAGACTTCTTTCAACATAATGATGTCACATTGTTACCATGGCCACCAAGATCTCCCGACTTATCCCCAATTGAGCACGTGTGGGATATGATGGGTAGGAGATTGCTCAATTTGCAACGTCCTCCTCAGACTCTAGAAGCACTTCGAGAGGAGTTGGTGGTTGCCTGGAATGAGATACCACAGGAGGACATTGACCACCTGATCAGAAGCATGCCTAGGCGCGTTGGAGAATGCGTAGCACGTCAGGGTGCATCCACACATTATTAAAGGTCAAAGGGCTTTAAAGCAGTGCAATCATTTTGAAATTTTTATCATTTACTTATTATGCTTCATTAAGTACTTATACAAAATTTTATTAAAATAAAACCATTTAAACTGGGTGTTAGTATATATCGCTTCACATGTTTCTGGAATAATAACACCCAACGCCTGGGGTGATATTATTGTTGTAAACTTTAGGTCTTCGTAACTCCTTCCAGTTGCGAGAAACCTCAGAGTTGCTGTCAATCTTTCGTGTGGCGATATAGCTTTTCGCATTACAGTGTCTTGCTTTTTAATAAGTGGAGTAACCATCGATAGAAGCTTCAAGTAAGTTTCTTCGTTCATAGGCAGGTAGTTATGCCAGACTTTGGGTGCAAATTTCAATTCGTTCACTAAATTGATGTGTGAATACTGTTCTCTTTTCATTAACCAGTCCTTACACCATATAGCTCGATGCCTTTTAGATTTTTTCAGTTTTTTTTTAACAACTATCAAGCCAACTATCGCCATAGCATCATCAATGGATGCCATCGTCGCAACACAACTCGCCTGCTCCATGACTTTCTCAAAAATGATCGGTCAAGTATACTTGCGCTGTGTGTGCTCGAGATAGGATGATGTGTGTTTGCGCAAGCCTAAGTTTGCGCAAGTATATCGTTACGTGTATGGCTGGCATTAGAAATAAAAGGCTAGGTACGTTATTTTGACAGATACGCATGCTCAGTTGTGGGTGTCATGATAGTGGGCACTAATTACGTTGCCGCCTAGCGTAATTTGAGAACACTTAGCGCGAGGCGGTATATGATGGTTTCGTGGATACCCGGAACCAATCGGGCGATGATCGTTATGATTTGAGGTTAGGTGCCGTTAATGGGTGATTTTTCTTATATTTGAAAAAAATCGGTTGGCCTGTGGTTTTCATTTTTATTCATAAGGTTTGTATTATGTGTACTGCGAAAGAAGTCAAGCGAACGGGGAACTTGTCTGTTGAGAATGCTTTGCAAAATCCCAGTCTCCAACTCCTAGTTGTTCACTGCCCCTATAGCGGCAAATCAAGAAGTTCTTGTACATCCATTTCGTCAAAGACACCTTTACAGCCAAAGTATTGAGGTTGTAGCGTTGTAGGGTACAGCTTTAACGTCACAAATTTAAGGTTATGTCCTCGTTATTTCTCATGCTGTTGCGAAAAGTATCCACAACCGATTAACATAACGTATACGTAATGTGCTTTACCGGATAGCGTTTGCGCCTACGTCGCTTCTCTAAGCGTTATGCGAAAACTCCCTAATTACACACAAAACGGATGCGATGATTTCCCGTAATGCTTCTCAAAGTTTTTGAAAACGCAAAAAACGGGGACAATTGTAATTTATAACTTTGAACATAACCTCTCTTCAGAAAGGACAAGACAAATAATCCGTCTAGTACAGCTAATATACTTCACGGGCAGCAAATTCAGCAATAATTTTCTCACATAGCAGATATCACTCATTTTATACACATCGTCGATGAAACCAGAAAACCGTGTAACTCCATTTTTATCAAAATCAAGGTTTTAGCACCATCTGTTGGCGAACGTCGATTGCTATCGGCAGTAAAAGACGTGTATCTCCTAACGTAATTTAAATGGATCAAATAGCGCGATTAGGAATCTGTGTAACTCCATACTGCTCAGAAACGGCGCGAAAATTGTGTATCTCCATCTGTCCCTATAGTGTAGTACAGAGTTATGTTGACGTCGTCTAAAAGTGCTCACTTCTTACAAAATAGTCCATAAATATTGATGTTGTGGTTACATGCTACAAGGTAAGTTCTCAATCCTGCGTTTTTATACCACAATTAGTTCAATTGGATAAATATTCCTTAGTTTAAGACATCATATTTTTGGATCTGGAGATACACAATTTTCTGTGAATAAGAACTAACGTATTATTGGAGATACATGTTATGCAAACATTTAAAAATCAAGAAATTTCTCTTGTTGCAGAATGTCACGTGGATTAAAAATTCTTGAAATGTTGAATCTGGATGTCCCGATGGCTGCCATTTTACCAGAAAATAATACAAACGTTGTTGGAAATGAAATTGCTTTCGAATCCTCTAGTCCTAGTACTAAATCAGGATATGGCACAACTTTGAACTTAGACATTTCTGATGTATTAACTGAGGCAATTAACAACGACATAATATTTGACTGTAGTCAAGTGGCTGCTAGCCAATCTTATTCACAAGATAACGATTTGTTTCCAACTTACCATAATATGGATGAAAGCTTATTGGAAAGTAGTTTAAGACCTGCTGATGATGAATCACAAAGTTTTGACCAGTTGTTGAATGAAGACCGTGCTAATATCGCCATATCTATTGAGAGTAATTCAGAAAATATGAATTATTTGAATACATCGTGAGGACCTATTGAAGGACAACTACATACAAATGATCAGCTTAGTGATGCTAAGTCACAAACTAAATCGAAAAAACGTAAGCTTCCAAATGGCCTCTTATGAGCACAATAAGGTCCAAAGGCAGCTAGGATTGCCATATAAAGGTAAAAAAAAGACTGCCGACAAATGGGATTATGAAATAAATAAGCCGGGTAAGTTTTTATCAGATCCTTGCAACTGCAAGTTGTCTGATAAAAAGACTAAATTGGAGTGCCGAAAGCTGTCAGAAAAAGAAAGAAAATCACTTTTCGAGTCCTTTTGGAAAAAAACCGGGCCAGAAAAAAGACAGTACGTTAAATGTTCGGCAAAACTACACCAAGTCAAACGCCGACGAGGCGAAGACGATCAGTCGCGGAGGAATTTTTCGATCACCTATCAGCTAGAAGTTAATTTTGAATCGTACCGAGTTTGCAAGAAAATGTATAACAACACCCTTGGACTTAGAGAAAACTGCGTGCTTTCCTGGATAAAGGCTGACCTAGATGGCATAGCTGATGATGAAGTACCACAGTCTTTAAGCAAATCAGGCAGACAACGTAAAAAAGTGAGCGAAGACTTGAATCAAGGGGTTACAATTTTTTTCAATTCTATTCCTAAGATGGAGAGTCAATATTGTCGGGCTTCAAGCCAAAGATTATACTTAGAGCCAATATGGCAAAGCAAGCAAGACCTGTATAGGTTCTATAGTGAGCAATATTGTATTGAACAAAACGTCCCCGCTGTTTCACGTACATTGTTTAGCGAAAAAATGACTCAAATGAACATCTCCCTCTTCAGACCCAGAAAAGATCAATGCGACGTCTGTGTTGCATACAAGACCAAAAATATATCAGAAGATGAATATGAACGACATTTAGTTCTACAGAACGAGTCTAGAATGGCCAAGGATGCCGATAAATGCCAAGAGGATCTTGTTTTCACGATGGACATGCAATCCGTCTTACTAGCCCCGCTTAATAAAGTATCCACCATGTACTATAAGACAAAGCTTGCTGTACATAACTTTACGATTTATAATATAAAAAATCATGAAGGTTATTGCTACCTCTGGAACGAGACGAAGGTGGGCTAACTGCCAACGAATTCTCTTCAATTATAACGTCCTTTATTGAAACTGAAGTATTACCAAAAGTCGTGAATAAGCCGGTCAAAATTATTTTGTGGAGTGATGCATGCGTCGGACAAAATAGAAATAATGTTCTGTCTAATGCACTACTGAATTTATGCATTTTGCACAAAATAACAATAGAACAAAAATATATTTTCAAGGGACATACACAGATGGAAGCAGATTCTATGCATTCCGCAATTGAAAGGAGAGTACGGAATAGGGACATAAACCTTCCAGCAGATTACGTTTTACATTGTCCAAAAGCACGAACAGTCCCATTTCCATATAAAGTTCAGCATCTTCATCACACATTTTTTAAAGATTTCTCGAATATTAAGTATTATCAATGTATAAGGCCTGGTCGAAAAGTGGGAGACCCAACAGTGACTGACCTGAAAGCTATAAAATATAACTCTGAAGGATTCATTGAGTACAAACTACGGCATAGTGACCAGCAGTGGACCTCGTTGGATTCTAGAGTGAGAAAACCTAACAATATTTTTAGAAATTTCGGAGATTTACCGAGCTTTTACAAACAAAGAAGCAGGATTAAAAAAGAAAAATTCGATAATCTGCAGATCCTCAAGGGTTCGCTTGATAAAGATTATCACGATTACTATGATAACATTTTATATCAGTAAGCTATATTATTCTCAATAACATGTTTTTCTAATCTGTATCAGAGTTTTGTTTGTAACTTATAACAATTTATCTGTTCACCATGTGTTAATGTCACGCAACTTGTGTATCTACTATTTTGTGTCATTCATTAAATAGAAATATGTGAATCTCCAAGAAAAATGTCAACGCACAAAAAAAATAAAAAACTATGTATTTTATATACATGTTATGTCTAATCGCCAACAACAAACACAATAATAACTAATTTTTAATAACCGGTTCAGAAACACAATGTTTTATTGGTCTCCTGTAAAATCAGTGTTAGAGGAGATACACATTTTTCTGGTTTCATCGACGACATGCAGACTAATATAAACAATCACCACAAAATCATCCAGATGCGATTTTGCTACTCAACTAATTTTCTTTCATAGCATCTCAGAGATACATACTCTACAACCTATCACGGAATTCTGCAACCTACAAAGCACGCTGGCATGCCGTTGAGTAATTCCTCCATAGATGTAGATACTAGCAGGTATCTAGTCATTAAGTTGACATTTTCTCGTTTTTTGACATTTTTTCACGTAATTACCCTGCTCAGCGGGTATTTTCTATCTTGAAAAGTGACATAATGGCGGTTTTTTGATATAACGAAGGTTTTTCTACAAGATGTAAACTTAGAACTAGCTGATGGACACTTGTGATCTCGTTTTGTACTGGCTGCTCTTCAGCTTTGGGAATCGTCAATTCACCAGACAAATATCCGACCAGATGGCGGAAGCAATTAGCCACAGTCGAGACAGTCAAAAAACGTGGAATGCCGTAGTCGTCAACAAGGTTATAAATTTCATAAATTAGTACACGTGTTGTGAATTAGTGTAAAAGTGATAAATTAGACTTTGGACAGTAAAATCGCACTAAAAAAATTAAAATTGTCATATTTAATTTTCGTCTGCATACCTACGCCTATTCAATAATATATCTTAATAATTTCTCCAAGCACAAAGAGAAAAAATCCTAAAGATAACAATGTTTATTGATAAAATATAAATGTATTAAAATAATAATAGTACTACAATACAATTACCAGTTGAAAATCATTTTAAAATATTTACAATTACAGTAGAAGTAAATCAACATCTTATGTGGATAAAATAGTCGCCCCTATAACAGGCACAGAATAATAGGTTCATCCATCTTTGTTAACTGTCTGGTCGCAATCTTTGATACTTGTTGATATTGTACCAAGAAAACACTTGTTTTTGTATAAGAACTAAGTTTTAGTATACAATACTAAACATCCAATCTTTCGCGATTGAAGAGGCTGGATTAAAAAAATCGATACAATATTTATAAATATCGATTACACAATTAATACACTTCATGATTTCATTTTCAATATAAGCCAAAACGTAATTCTCATAGAAGAACAATATTCGAAATAAAACATGCACAGAATGATTATCACTTAGAATTTTCCAAGGTTACACATGTGAAGTGTCTACATACAATACATATAGTTACAAAAAATAATCATCTCAAATACTTCCACAAATAAAATTAACCCAAAATTAGTGAGTATATAAAATCCGGCGGAACACCACCATTATTTTTTTAAGAAACGGTGACACCATAAGAGACTATTGTAGATTTAAAACTTTTAGACTCATTAAGGATTAACAGTTCTAAAAAAGTTGAATACTCGAATCAGTTTTTGAATGCACCCTGAAATTATAAGGGACATTTATTTCTTGATGTTAAGATCCAATGAGCGTGTAGGATCGGACGTTTCTGTCAATCAATATAGTCCGGGAAATATCTTCGCATATGATGGGAAAATATTCCGTTTCGGATTTTTTGCATAACCTCATTCAAAAAGGGCCCCTTTTAATGAATCTGCATGTTGCCAGGCCCAAATTTGCGTGAAAACTTTTCTAAACAATATTTTCTAACAAATTTCAAATATATTGATTCTGAACAAAAAAGTGCTCCAGCGATAGTTTTCGAGATATCAGAGGCACAACATTGAGCGCGTGATCAGTTAACAATAAAAACACAAAGGTTTACAATAATAATTCGTCCGGAAATGCTTTGAGATTTTATTAATGGATGTTTGAAGAATACTAAATTTAGAAACATTGGCAACACTGAAATTTTCGTTATTTCATAAAGTTGTGTCAAATTTCGTGTCTCTGATACCTCGAAAACTATCTAGTTTAGAATATACAGTAGAACCCCGATTATCTGAAATCCGTTTTATCCGAAACGGATCGCATACAATAATTTCTCCGTTTTAACCGAAGTTCTGATTCCCCAAGCTCGTTTGCGGAATTCAGTGGTATGTGTGCGTGTATGTTTGTTTCAGTCAGGTTCATAATCGCTAAGATGGAGCAGCTTAGAAATAAACGTAAACGCGTTGTTATTACCATAGAACAGAAACTTGAGGCAATCAGACGCTCAGATAGAGGCGATTTGCTGCCAAAAATAGGAACAATGCAAAACGTGTACAGTTAAAAATTACTCACTTTGTTACTAAATACTCGTAAATTTGTATAGGATATTTGTATTCATATGTTTATATTTTACGTAACCTAACATGGGTATATACTCAATTAACACACGCATTTACTTTTTTCAATAAAAGCATTACGAACCTAAATGTTTAATTCCATTTTATCCAAAATTTCGATTATCAGAAAGCACTTGGGTCCACATTATTTCGGATAATCAGGGTTCTACGTAGTTCTAAATCACCCCAAAAAACTTAAAACACACTTTCATTGGAAAGAGAAAAATAATTTTCAGAGTGTCTTGAAAAAATGTTGATGCAAATTTTGCCCAAAAAACATGCAGATTCATTAAAATGCGAAGATACTGTCCGGATTATTTTTTCTCTTAACTTGGGAAGTGAGAATTTATTTTCCAATAAAAGCTCGCTGCATATTCTTTTGCAAATCTTCAGCCCTCAAACTTCCGAAAAACCTATAACCTTTTTCAAGAGTGCCCCTTACGGTAGAATGACAGCTGATTATCTAGTAATATTTCAAAATTCCCCATATCGGCAAAGGACACATAATTCTGACAGATCCGTCAATGCCAAGTAGACAGAGCGTCGCAGTGGAGGATCGTTAATGATCCACTCACAAGAGCTGGAAAAAAGAAGACTAGTGACGACATCCTCTCTGACGAGAAACCTGGAGGTTATAACTGCTTGGGGACTCAACAATCTTGTACAGTTTAATGCTTCCAAAACACAGTACTGTACCTTGACGAATAAAAAGCGTCCTAGCGCTCACCCCGTTTCGATGGATAGCCGAGTTCTGCCAAACAGCCGTTCATTTCGGCTGGTCGGAGTCCAGATCACCGAGGACATGATTTGGCTCGAACACATCTCGTCAATAGCGGCAGCTGCTAGGAAAAAGCTAGGATATTTATTTAGGGCCTGAAGTACTTTTCTCCGCATGACCTTCTCAGTCTATACAAGGCCCAGATAAGGCCTAGCCGCGAGTATTGCTCACACGTTTGAGGTGCTGTCGCGGACAACATTATTATGTATGCTCGATGCTATCCAGAGGAGAGCTGTCCGACTGATCGATGACCCTTTTCTAACAGACAGTTTCGGGACCCTTTCGCACCAGCGGGCCGTCGGCGATCTAGCTCTCTTCTACCGCTACACCAACGAGCTTTGCTCCTCAAAGGTCTCTTCCATGATGCCGTTTTATTCATCGAATAAAAATATAATTCTGTCTTGGAAAATATTACCAAATCTCTTTGAAATCACAATGTGTGCCGATCTAATTTTGGGGCGCAAAAATGCTTTAAAAATATCCGAATGGCTCTCACATTTTATAAAGAAAAATTCTCAGGAATCAATAAAATTTGAAAAAAAATCATTTCCATTATCTAACGTTTTCACATCAGTGTCATAAATCTGCGATAAAATTTCCTCCTTCTTATAAAATAAATCACTATCCTGTTGTACCACAGATGTGGTTTCTGAACCAGTATCATTGATGATAGATCTAAAAAACCTATGGTCATCATCATTATGCTCGTCCAAACTTATTTCTCGTTCACAGTGTTCTGTGCTAACATTATGAGTGTTTGAATTTTGTTCTGTTTCATCAATATCCATTAAAAAACTCAAAATTGGCTCCTTATACATGCAAACTGATTCACTTTTTATTTTTTGAATACTTTCTATGTCTTGTAAATGATCTGTGCATTTAGGTTGATTTCTTTCAACATATTCTGATCTCTGATTTTCACTAACAAAAGTCGAAAATTTTTGCGAACTTTGGCTACAAGAAATATCTGACTTGTTTTCAATCCTTGCATGCTCGTTGGAATAAATGTTACCTGATCCAGGTTGACTAGCCTCATTTTCTTTCTCCAGTGTTGTTGTATGCAGTAAAATATCCAGATTATTTCCCTTCACGCTCTTCCTTCTGAAAGCACAATCAATACTATTCTCTGATATATTGATCTTTTTGAGTCTGGATTTTTCAGTTCCTTTTGCCTTTCTTTGGTTGTCAGCGTCATTTTCGTCAGTCTTTTTATCATCCTCTGAAGCCTTACACCTTTTAATGTTTTTCTTATCCTGGTTTTGATATACAAGCAGCTTTTTAGAAGATGCCCAATTTGCCAATAATTTGTTATAATTCTGTAAAAAATGAATTTCAACTTGTATAAAGATATATTAATAGAACATGGTATGACATATTGTGAATTTTCCTGAAGAATCAGAGGATCAAAGAAAATAAAATTAAATATAGTAAATTTTAGATGAAAAGAATATGTTTCACGACTTTTTTGCGAGAAATGCCTTTTGTTCACAATTCACAGTTTATATTATAAGAGCTTTATGTAAATTAAAATAGCTACCTCTATTTCATCATCAGTTTTTCTTTCAAAAGAATCACAAGAACACCAAGTTAATCTTAGCCACCAGAATCTATAGTTGTTTCGAAAGTTGGCAAAATTATCGTTATCGATACTGAAATAAAATGGAATCATCAGTAATAACACTTTTCATATTTTTTTTTTTGTATACTCCAACTACCACGAATGCCTAAGGCCTAAACACCCATGGGGTACCGTGGGGCTATAGGGGGATACAGGGGAAAGGGGGAACACCACACGGACTCTGGCGAGGGAACAGGTGTGCATACAACATGCACACATTCTGGCCCCGCCTACGAGATCCGCCGGGTGGTACCTCCGCGTTCGACAGTCAGAGACCGTCTACCACCTACGGACAATCACAACATCCATAGCCAAAAGAAAAATTTCTCCTGGGACGGGATTCGAACCCGCACAGCGCACGGCGACTGATCAGGAGACCTGTATTGATCCAGTAGTTCATGGGTCTAAGTCTTAAGTATGTCTTTAACGCGGGGAATATGGCGAATTATTTTGATTCTTCTATTCGTCATTGTGTGTCAGGGCGGTATGTATGACCTTTGCTCTTAGCTAAAGTAGTGCAAGTCAGTAGGTCTATCAGGCTTGGTTGCCCAGATACTAGTGTGAAGTCAGGGTGGATGATTTCAATGTCATAGATTATACAGCGCGGCGGTGACGACGCAATACGAAAGCTGGACAATATGGAGCCTATATACCAGGAGGACTGGCGGAATGAGAAAAAACGACACCATAAGTTGACGCCTGACTGAGGAAGCAGTGATCACAGAGTGTACTAGCTACTGCGCAGGTATCTGAGGTAAGGAAAACTTTCAATTTCAAAGAGACCTGTGCTGATACCACAGTTTAATACTAAACTAAATCGTGAAATCTCCCAGGTAGGATCCAATTAGCTAGGTGCCAACTCACAGGTTTTACGAATAACTTTTCTTTTCATAGTTAGAAATCACAGTTAAGACCTTACCTTTTTGAAAACATCTGGAACAAATTCTTGCATATTTTGGTTATTCTTCTATCTTCAATGACTTAATCCATAAATCTTGTCAGTCTTTGGACAAAAGACTGAGTTCTTCACAAGCATTTTGAAGAATAACAGGAATACCAAACAATGAACATGTTAATGTTCCCCCTCGTTAAACAATTGATCACTGCACAAAGGGAGGCTTTTCAACAGTTCTTCACAAATAACTAAATAACATTGACAATTTCTAACAGATTTTCGGCAGTTTACATCAATGATTTACAAGGAATACGCAAAAAATTTTCAGTTAATTTACAATGAACCCATTTGATGGTGTTCCTATGTTGAATCTGTCAAAGCCCAGCTTTACCAGATGGGTCAGACAGAATTTCTCCAGAACAAGCACAAAAATTCCTAAGAATTACTACTTTGAAAAACCCAAATCACAGTTAATTAATGAAAAAGGGGTAGGTTTGTTCGAAGAGCGGGAGGGTACTTGCTATCTGCGAAAAACATTGTATCCCCAAGAATTTTCCCAAATTTGGAGGAAAATCCACCAACATGGCAACTCTGTCAAAGCACCACTGGTGCTCCAGTCGTCAAGTTTAGGTGTCGTTTTTACAGCTTAAACAGCAAAACAGCGTTGCCGTAGCTTCTGGATTATAGGCTCCATGCTGGTCAACATGACTTTGGCGTTAAGCTCTTGATTCTCGATCGCTCATCACGCCTAGTTTGATGCAACTACAACCAAAAACTCGCAAAGTCCGACGCTAAAAAACACACGGTCTATTAAACATACATAAATATGATGTATCCCTTAATCTATTAATATGAATGCCTATTACAGTTATCCCTAAAACTAACAGACAGCTTAAAAACATAATGATATAAAGATGATCTCCTATTGTTTCAACTAAACCACCTGATATGGTGTAAGTGCAACAACCAAAGTTGCATATGTTTCCAAGGATTACTTGCTCAATGTCCAATGAGCTATACTCCTATCAGATATTGACAGGGTATATCTGAGTCACTATTAACATTGTCCTAAAAGTTATCTTCCCTATTTGAAAATTGTATTTCCTATTTTTGACTGATGTCAAAGATCTCTAGTTAACTATCTGCATTCTGCCACCTAATATGTTAATAGTTGATCATACAAAACATGAATCTTTGACATAAACACTGTTGAAGTAAAAAGTACGAATAATTACTCACTCATAGAAATCAGCCAATTTTCCAACACAGCCTGGATTCGCCCAGTTCAACATGGACCACTGTAACTTTTGGTCAGGTTTTAGCTGAAACAAGACAGTATGCATAGTTATGTAAGATTCATGTGACTGGTACATTGTAAAACTTTATACTGAAATATGTTTACAAAATACTTATGAAAACTTAACTTGTAGGTGTTGTTGATGCCTACATTGGTATGAAAAAAGATACTGAAGATCTTTGCTGTCCATGTTTGTAACCATGACCAATCCTAGGCAGCACTGTTTTGTGCTCTTTAGCAACTCATCAGTATGGTATAGATCTTGTCTTGGAGACAGACAAACAAAAAGGAAACAAGTATACTTATGCAAAAAAGCATAGAATGCCACAGCCTGATATGATAGCTGTGAATACTTAGTATTCTGACTACTGGGTGGTGTTGACTCTAATTTGATGACAATGTGGATGATTGAGATGTTGCATATTGGACTTCCATTGCTTATAAAGTTTTTTTAAACTGTTTACCTGATGACAATTCAAGATAACATCAATCAAAATGTTGTGAATCAAAAAAACTTTATAGACAATGGAAGTCCGAGAAATAACATCTCAATCTATATGTACATAGTACAGACATCGAGTAGTTATAAGCCAGATGATGTAGGATCCTTCTGTCATTTTATCACATGGGCTGAGGATGGTGTCAGCCTTAACAGACCACTTGTAGGTGGCATATCTCACCTACTTACACACAACATAAAAAGAGATATATATTTACATAGAAGTTCTGCTCTGTTAAACCTATGTTGAATCCACCAAAAATGTTCCTTAAAATCAACTTCTTCGCTACCTCATCAAGGTGATCTACAACTACTATCGAGTAATCATAATCTAATAGGGACTTGGCTGCTCTGATGTTAGAGAAAGGCAATAAAATGGCTATCTTGTTTGACTCCATTAAGGCCCTGGCATCATCTAAAAACATCATCATTATTATTTTTTAACTAGTTGAACCAAAAACTACTTACCATTTTTACTGATAACTTTTACTGTAAACTCTCCATCAAGCGTTAAATGATAATGCCATTTTATTAAAAGATGGTCAGGAGTCAATACCAAAACGATATACTTATCTCTATGTAATTTTCGTATTGCTTTCATGAATAGTGATATTTGGAACTGTATGTCCAATCCATCCTCAGTATTTATAATTGAGCCCTTAAACTGAAAAAAAAATCATTTAAATGTGTGACAAAAAACAAATACTTAATGTCCCTTAATAAAACTCTTTAGAACTTACTTTTTTCACAAAATTCTCATACAAAAAATCAATTGCAATAAGATGATAATTTGTCAAAGGTAGTGTATTATCCTTTCCAATTAAAACTCTTTCTGCGTTTCTTCCTAGTATCCAGGATTTCCCCAATTCACTTGGCTGCAAACATACAAATGTTTAAGGACATTTCAATGGAATGGGCAACTGAAGCAAAATTTGCCCCCGACATGGACAGGTCAAGAAAGAGCAATAAAGTAATATTTGTACCGATACTGAAACATGACTGTCAGTACGCCCCAAATAGAAGTGTGGCGCTTCAACATTTTCATACTCGTATACATCAAATTATCTGCAGTAGTAGCTTATGAGGAGACGCCGCACATATAAGTGGATGTAATTATTTTTTTTTATAAAATCAGAACTTGATGTATCATGTACGTACATGTAATGTAGTAAACATGTTAGCCAAAATTACGATACGATTTCATTGTATCTGGAGAGGACATATAATGTCATGATAAGGATATACAGAACTTTGATGTATAAAATAGCTACGAACACTGAAAAACTTGTCTTTGATAAATCGTTGTCGTCTTCAAAAAATCCATAAAACTCTATCATTTTCAAAAAAATTTATACATTTCTGTACTTCGATTTCAAATGTATCATGTCATAAAACCACAGATAACCCACAGATTATAATGATGAAACAAGAAACAACAAGGAAACTCATTGAAATGTCAAAATTAGTTGTCATTCAATAACGTATAATGGATTCCCGCACGATACTTCCAACGTTGTATACAACGTTTGACACCCCACAATAATGCAGGTCCCACACGATGCTTCCAGCGTTGTATACAACCTTGAGTACAACGTTGTTTACAACGTTCGACACCCCACAATAGTCATGTGTCGTTTGCGAACGAGTCGTTCAAAATGAACGACTCATCTAAGTGAGCGATGATTGAATGACTCTTTTGTTACATATGACTTGTTCAGTTGTACAAAGCGTGTTTGCAGTATGAAGCAACTGAACTGCGAACTGACAAGAGGTAACAGTATAGACACTATCCACGGAACCCGGTTGTTTTATTTTGAGATGACTCAATAAATTATACGAAATGATGGAATTTGAGAGCAAAAATTGCATTTTGATTCAGAATTCGGTAATTGCTCAAAACCGGCCCACATATATTCATTCTTTTTTCGTTACATTCAATTTCAACAATAAATATTAATACTTAAATAAATACAATAACACCAGCAACCCTAACCCTTCATATTTCATTTTCATGGCATGATGTATATTCACTGACTCAGTGAGTCGTTACTATAGGCAACACAATACTCTCGTCAGCTTCGAAGGCGGTCGGTAATCGTATCGTTCAAATGAACGACTCCGAACGAACGACTCACTGAAGAGAGGAACATGAGCGAGCTCAGAGAAAACAGTCGTATGTCTCAACCCTACCCCACAATTGGCAAGTGTGTCTCCTACAGCTACACCCTACACGATGGGATAGACTTTTTAGCTTTTTAGTCTCGAACGTTCGACGCATGGTGGCGTCAACGCTTATTATCGGTGTCACTGTCGCGCTTGAACCTTTACAACTGAAGGAACAATTATACAAAATGAACGATGAAACAATTTTTCCGAACACCGAAACATAATTTCATATTTGTCTTTAACGACCAAAACTTAAGTCTGTCAGAAGCCTCAGAAATGTCGAAAAACGAAGTTTGGTCGTTTTTTGTTTGTTTTTCGACGATAACTCCGCCACACTGTACCAATTTTCAAAAACTGCAGAGCTTTTTCGTTATTTTCATAGTAGTAACCTAGGGTCAAAATTCCATCATAATTCTGATAGTACTGTCAGAATTTTCATTTATATAATCTTTTTCATTAGTTATGAAATGCAAGTCAATATATACTAAGTGACATATAAATCCGAACACCCAGTTTAAATGGTTTTATTTTAATAAAATTTTGTATAAGTACTACTACTGTGTGGATGCACCCTGATGTGCTACGCATTCTCCAACGCGCCTAGGCATGCTTCTGATCAGGTGGTCAATGTCCTCCTGTGGTATCTCATTCCAGGCAACCACCAACTCCTCTGGAAGTGCTTCTAGAGTCTGAGGAGGACGTTGCAAATTGAGCAATCTCCTACCCATCATATCCCACACGTGCTCAATTGGGGATAAGTCGGGAGATCTTGGTGGCCATGGTAACAATGTGACATCATTATGTTGAAAGAAGTCTATTGTGACTCATGCAACATGTGGTCGGGCATTATCTTGTTGGAAAGTTGGATCTGCCAGGGTGTCAAGATAGGGTAAAAGATGGGGTTCTAGAACTTCGTGGATATAACGCTGCGCGTTCATGTTACCTCTGATGAAGATTAAAGGTGACCTGGAACCATAAGCTATAGCACCCCAAACCATAACTCCAACAGTGTGATGAACATGTCTTTCAACAAAAAACTGTAGATTCCTCCTTTCACCACGTTGCCTTCTAACCCTGGCACGACCATCGTGCATGCCTAAACAAAACCGAGACTCGTCACTAAAGACAATACTGTTCCATTCCTGATCCCAGAGTGACCGTTGTCTGCACCACTCAAGGCGATTACGTCGGTGTTCTCGAGTTAAAGGGAGGACCCTGGTGTGGCCGGTATGAAAACAAGCCAAAACTTCTCATTCGTCGGTAAACACTTCGCATGCCAATAGGTCTTCCATTTTCTGCAAACCAATGCAATGGACCTGGTAGTGGAGAAACGGTCCCTTAAGGTCAATAATCTTAGGCGGCGATCTTCACGGTCTGTTGTTCTACGGCGGCGTCCAGTGACCCTTGCTCTTTGCGTACGGCCTTCTCGAAGCCATGCCTGACAACACCTAACCACAGTGTCTACACTTCTTTGCACTCTAACTGCAATTGCCCGAAAAGAAAGTCCAGCTTCCCGAAGTCCCAATATACGGCCCCTATCAAACTCACTAAGTTGACGAAATCGTACAGGTCTCCGTACTCTAGGCATCGTAACCGATCGCAAAGGATGTCAAGAACCAAAATCCGCCAACGTTTATTCTTTACTGCGGCTGAAATATTCATTTTTAGAGCGTTAGTGAATTAAAAAAAAAGCAGTATAAAAACCGGAATGTCCAACTGATAAGGCTGAACATTTTTTCACTTGTTATTTACAGTAAGATAAATACATTCACCAACTTGTATTAAAATAAAACCATTTAAACTGGGTGTTCGGATTTGTATGTCACTTAGTATATTTCTCAACTAGTCTTGCATTGCAACAGGACATTATAATGAAACAATTGTAAGCACTTGATAATTTATAGGTAATTTACTAAAATACATATCCTTAGGCCGGCCATAAACTCACCTGCGAAACGTACAAAATATTAGCAATATGAAAAAAGTGTTGTTATGGCAGCCTATGCTTTGTATGTTTACTAATTTAATTCATTATCCTTAAAAGTTGGTTATGGAACATACATTATTATGAATAGGTAGGTATTCAAACCAAAATACTTTCCACCAGTGGCGCTCCCAGGATTTCAGTCTGGGAGGGGTAAAATGGAAAGTAAATTCTCAGTGTGACGTACTGAAGTGTTATAATGATTTAACAGTAAAAGCATGGACATATGCAGACATATGAATTTGTTACAGTAATTTCTGTAGAAAACACATCCCATATAGCACACAACATCTTTCAGATGTCTTATTTATGTCGTAATGAGGTCGTTATGTCTTAAGACCTGAAAAAGATATCTCCCAGATGTCTTACTAGAGATGTCTTTAAGACATCTGGAATGTAACATCTTTAGGATATCTTTTCCATATCTTTTGTGGCTGAAAATAATATTCCAATTGGGGCTTCTTAAATTCTAAACGAAAATCAACAAACATATCAAGTAGGATGATTTACAATGGTAATGAACTTTTGGGACCGAATAACGACATATTAAATGCTTTTGCGGATAACTTCTCCAAATACTACTCGTCTAACGTCTTCATCAGCCACCGAAGAAACTGATGACTTCTTAATGAACAATGAACTACTCATTATTACTATATTTGAGGAGGATGAAGTTGTCTAGCCTTGAAGCAAATAAAACCGAAGATGACTACCGGACCGGATAATGTACCAGCTTTTATTTTGCGTGACTGTGCCCCTGTGTTGGCATGTCCTTTGACCGTTTTATTTAACTTGTGTCTTACCACTTGCACAATTCCATAATTATGGAAGTTGTCTAAAGTATGTCCAATATACAAAAACGGCAGTAGGAATGGTGTATCAAATTTTAGACCTATATCAATATTGTGAAATTGTCAAAAGTTCCAGAGATATTAATATATAATATCATCATGTCAGCAGAAAAATATGTGTTCAACAACATGGTTTCATGAAAAGGCGCTCAACAGTATCAAATCTGATGAACTTCATACAGACCATAGCAGAAAACATTGACAGAGGATTACAAACAGATGTGATCTGCAGAGACTTCTCCAAGGCTTTCGACAGAGTTGATCACAGGATGCTATTGCATAAGCTGAAATCTCATGGATTATGCGAGTCTTTAATACAACTATTTAAGTCCTACCTCACTGGAAGAAATCCATTTGTGATGTTTAATGGCATCAGATCGTCGGAGTATGTAGCTCATTCCGGAGTGCCACAAGGCAGTAACCTAGGACCTTTATTGTTCGTCATATTTGTGAATGACATAGTTGATGCTGCTGGCGAGAATTGTTTATTTTACGCTGATGATCTGAAGATGTTTTGTCGTGTAGTTAATGAATCAGACTGTGATCAACTTTTAGAAAATCTGGTTAGGTTGGATTCTTGGTGCTCACAAAACAATCTACCATTAAAAATCAATAAATGTTACGTAATGTCTTCTTATTTGACTATACCCTGTCAGGTACCTCTATTCAGAGGACTTCAACTTTATGTGACTTAGGCGTGACATTTGACTCCCAAGTAACATTCGTCAAACACATTGACAGCAAAATTTCCGAGGCAAACCGCATGTAGCATGTACGGCTTTATTGTAAGAAATTGCCGTGACTTCACTCAGAGTACCACCTTGAAGTTGCTGTATTATGCATATGTTAGGTCGAAGCTTGAGTATGCATTTCTAATTTGGAATACGCATCATATTATTCATATAAGTAGGCTTGAATGTGTTTCTTAAAATATTTGTCACTGAAATTGGATGGCGTTTACCCGCCCATAGGTAAACCTCATGATTCCTTACTTGAAAAACATCTAATCAGCAGTCTTGAAGCAAGGCGGACTTACCAGTCAGTGATTTTTCTGCTTAAATTGTTCAATAATGCTAGTGATGATTTAGCTTTCTTGGGTCAGTTATCATTTAACGTGCCTAGGCTGACATCCCGACAAAACGTTACGTTTTATCTACCTGCGGCACGGACAAATTTATTCGCCTTTGCATGTGATGTGTAGGAATTACAATTACAAAAAAATAACATTAAGTAACCAGCATGTATCTTTTACACTTTGTAGCTTATTACTTATTATAGTCTTTTATATCTATGTTATGTTCTGAGTTTCCTCACCCTGTAGTTGGTATTCACTGTAGGGTGTTGTAATGAATAAAATAAAATAGAAGTTCGGAACGATGTTTTTCAGCCATTCTTGGTTCATTGGCGCTATGTGAA